TACTCCACCCTCTGTTTTATATTAATGTCCTTCATGCCTTAATCCTTTCTGACTTTATTCTGTCCTTCCAAATCAAATAATGACAGTAGAATGTTAGCTTTGAAGCACACTGATTTCTAAACTATTTCTGCACCACAGAAGCTTAACCTGAATGTCACAGTGTAACAGAGAAACGGTGTGTGTGTGTGTGTATACATTTGAAACTTGAATATTCCCCTTAGGAAGTTCTGTGGTAATTGAGGGAATATTGTGAGGTAAATTCTTCCAGACATGATTCTCAATTCCTAATGAAACTTTTCATCCAGCAATAACAATTTACCATTTTTTACCTTCATATTTAAAGTTGGAGGACCTGAACAATAAAATGGAGGGTTGATAACACTGCCTTCTTTCTTTATACCAGTACAATTACTGAAGTGCTCAGCTCAAAAGCCCTGGTAAAGAACAATTTAACAGAAAAATTGAGAATTTGCTTGTTATAAAATAAGCAGGACGGGAGAGCTTGTTATGAGGGATTCGAAATTCCAATATTGTGCATCTCTTTGTTTCAAAATACATCCAGCAAGGAAAAAACAAAAATCTAAAATCAAAGCTTTATGCGAACTATTAAACAGATTAAAGAACATATAGACTTGTGAATCACAGTTACCTTTGCTATTTCATTTAGGTTTCAACCATTCTGTGCTTAAAAATGGATTTATTAATCTTATTAAAGCCAATGAGTGTGTCACTGACATGGCCGTGCAGATTCTACACACCCTGTAAACCAACAAACAAGTTTATAAGTGATAAACAAAAAAACTGATTCATAATAAATTTTGATTCAAACTGTAGTTCTATTTGGACTGTGTTTTACTGACTTTATTGAGTGGAGATTCTATTACAAGTATTTGTAGAACAAATATGTATAGCAGTCCAGTTTCAATTAAAAACATACAGTGCATAATTTTGTGTTATGGATAAATACACTATAAATTTGTTTAATCATCAAATTTTACTTGAAGTCTTGGAAATTAAGTGAAAAATAAAGAAAATGTTACAAATTGATTAAATAAGAAATTTTTTATAAAGTTGTAAGATTGTCTCATTTGATTCAGTTTTCCATTATTACTTAACTATTTAACTTAAAACTATGTTGAAAACAGTTGCATAAACCTCCCTAAAATTCACTACTCTTCTCCAAATTACATTCAAGACAACATTATAGTCTTGGTAACTGGAGTAAGTAGTTCAGTAGAATTTAGCACCTTAGTTATGGATCCTGATAACTTAGTAAATGAAAATCCTAAGCAGGAAAGTGCCATAAAACTTCCTCCATTTTCGTTCATGTGCATAGAGCTCTGCAAATAAATAAATAAATAACATAGTTAAGGGACAATGCAAAATATTGTTCCCCTCCCCCCCTTCTTGAGCCTTAACAAATTACATAAACATTCTGAAGAAAATAATAAAATGCTAAGAATTAAGAAACTAAACTCTTCTCTGGGTGGTTTCTTCGGTAAACATCCATGAGGCTTTTGAAATATCCATATCAACATTCAGTTCTCACTGTGTATACTTGCTAGACTGTGCATATACTGCCTGTGAGCACCACAGAATGCTGCTGCAAAATCCTTTCAGCCAGCCTTAAACATTACTGAAACAATGTCAGAATTGCCAAGACTGGCAGATAATTACCAGGATCCATGTTAAGGTTGAAGGACTATGCTAAATACCTTACAAAAATAAAAAAACGAAACGCAAGAGGGAAAACTTTATGACTAGTCTCAGTCCTGGAATCAGATGTTGATCAGCTGTAATTCCTGTGCCCAGATGATTATTTTTGTTTCACTGAAGTATTGTCCACATCAGTTCTGAGAGCAAAGAAAACATTGTTTTGTTTGGGTACTGGTCAGCCACTGAGAGCGAAGGCTCTTAGTAGGCAGAATGGGGAGTATTTGAGAATATAGTGAAAGAAAAAAATGTTGTCTGGAGGGCAAGCATGTAGCCTTAGGCAGTGAGAACTAGGAATGAATGCAATATCAAGAGAATAAGAGAAAGAAAGAGGGGCAAAGTGGTTGGAGGGGCTTTCCCTGAGTGTTACTGAAGCAGTTTTCCTGTTGTCATACAGGGATGCAGCATCATACACATTAGTAGTATAGTTTCACAGAGAACAGAAAGTTAAAGAAAACCCATCAGGATATCACAATTCAGACATGACATTTCTGTAACTGAAGGCACACAAGGGAGCAATACTACTGGTAATGTATCTTTCTACCTTTAGTATTGAAGTGGTCATATTCCCATTTCTATGTAGCTGGTTGGAGAAAAGGGAGACTGGGAGGACTCTCTACTTTAAGCACGGCAAAATTTTTACACTCATCTTCCAGATTTGTGCCAAGCTGCCTGACAATATTTTGTGATCATATCCTCCAAAACACATTCATGAATATATACAACATTTTCAGACAAAATACTTCCAAGTTTTTCAGGCCTTCTATTGAAGAAAACAAAATAATCCTATTAAATGTTTTCTGTCTGCCCTTATTGTTGTACAACAACACAGTTCTCAAGCAATACTATGTTCTTCACATTCCATAATAAGCCATTACCAGCTTTTGTGCACCTGCCACTGCTGCTGACTGGCTTTTGTACAAAAGAGTCATTGGCCATTTACTGTTTTGCCCTGTATTTTCCTGGGTAAGAGCCCTTACAAAGAAAAGATTCTGAAACTGGTCACCCAAGCTATTCTAAGTCATCTCAGAAGCTAGTCTATTTACAATAAATGACTACAACATCTAGGAACCATTACCAACTTACAGAAACTTTGGGGAGTTAAGACAGCTGAATTCAGGTTTGGACAAAATCAGAAAAAAAGAAAAAAAAGAGGCATATAACCTGAGGAATTAATTGAGACCTGAAGGTGCAGAATGAGAAGAGAGTGCGCTGTGAATCCAAAGGACTTCTTTAATATCTCGATCACTTCCCCTCAGTCCTTCACCTTTCACTACTACTCATCATGCTTTTAATGCTTTTCCATCTTACCAGACTGTTTCCTCCTTTTTAATGGGATTGGACAAATGGTAACATATTTTGACAGACCCCTTGCCAGCTTTCCTTAAGCTTCAAGTTAGAAGTAGTCGCAGTTTTTATTTATCTCACTCTATAGCTCAGTTTTGGTCCTACCATTCATGTTCCTGTTACACTGTTTGCATTATGAATGGCATCTGTCTTGGTGGAATTAGGGCATCTAACAGTACACAGACTATGCAGCGGCATGGTAAAAATGTTGTCTGAAAATAAAATATATTACTATCACTGGATATATATTAATTATTTTTAAAAGCATATTTCAATCTTCTAGTTACAACTCAGTGGGAATGCAGCTTACTTGATTTAGGTAGCTAAAAATTTGACTTGTTACAATTATAGCAGCACATGCAATATTATTCTTTTATTTTTAAGCAAAACAACTGCAGTTCTTGAGGCTTGCAGCAGATAATTAGGAAATTTGCAGGAAACTAAAAAATAATGTAGGGCTTGATCTTACATGGTTGTGGTTTGCAGGAGGGAAGAGAACAGAAAAACCTGGTGATGCATTAATGATAGCTCCACTGCAGAGCCTCTAAATGGAGAGGCCACTTATTTTGGCCTGTGAGCTAAAATAAGTCCCACAAGACAGGACTAGAAGGTAAACACATCATTTGTGATTTTTGTTTACCTTTAAATCCTTAGGAAGAGCTGAGTTCATACAGTGACAAATGTTTAGATAAGGACAGTATCTCCACAATGAACACTGCAGAGATGGAGAGAATTTTGTGTGTATGTTAACTGTAAAGGAACCTGCTCAGAACTAGAAGCAACATAGCTGTAAAGCACTGATAGTTGCTCAGACAAATTTACCTTGATTCTAAAGTAATGTAGCTCCTTCATAGCAAGTCAGAAATGTAAACTGTAAACATGTGTAGAGAGAGCATTCTGATAACATCATCATTTGACTCATATCTTTTATTCTTACCTTACTTTTTACTCCACTTGTCTTGCCCTGTTACTCAGAGATAGGATCTACAAACCAGACTTATTTCTGTTCACCATATATCACAGCACTGAGGTATGAACAGGCAAGTGGCCATTTCTAATGTAATTTTCTTAATATAGTGCACAGAACCTCTCAGGTTAAAGTAATGTTGCCCAGGGGATGCATTTAATTTTTAACAATTTCATTTAATAGCAGCTAAGCACGTGTTAAATGATACATTTTCACCCATGTCCTTTGCCTTTATTCCTATAGGCAAGAACAAATAGTCATTAGGAATCAGAAGTTCTTGGACAGAACATATTGTCACATCCACAAAATATGTTAGGGATCAAATCTGCTCTTTAGACAAGAACAGTATTCAATTTTACTTATTTCTAAGCCTTCTGAAATTCAGTTATTCTGACATATATTTTAGTTTTAGGCCGCTTACCAATGAATTTCATTAGTTGTGGAAGCGTGATCAAAGGCAAGTTAACCTGCTTGTATAGTCTGATCAAAGATGGTGAAATATTTTGGTTCCAATAGACTGAGAATAGGTAAGGTCCTAAAAAAATTGCAGCTGATGAGAATTCAAATGTGAGTTAGGACAGTCTAAAACATATTCACTTTTCATTGAGGCAACAAATGTTGCCTAAAATCTTATCTGATTTATGGTAGAATGGTTGATCATTAAATGTAAGAAAAACGAAATAAAGAATATGATACGAGATATATACCCAAGACAATGAATAATATCCACAACAAATTCAACAAACACATAGTCATAGTATGGTCAGTCTTCGCGAACGAAGATTTGGGAAAGGTCTTTACCCTTCGAGCCTGCGCGGTGGATTTTTTAGGTGAGACACAGTGTGCGCTGAACTGAGCCCACCCAGCTTGGACAGTGGCAGCGAGGTCCTCAGGACGTAGGTTTGTTTAGAGTGACCTTCTCTTAGATGGATGGCCTTACAGGGCTGATGAGTTCCATCTGCCCGGGGGAGTTTCCCTTGACCGGGAATCGAACCCGGACCGTGGCAGTAAAAGCGCCACATCCTAACCACTAGACCACCAGGGGTCCCCAACATATACAGATTGAAACATCATAACTGTGACTGGAGCTAGGCAGAAGATAAAAAGTCTTTTATTCAGATTCTTCATGGTGCACCAGTGGCTTAGGATATTACAAGCACACTATTGAGGAGGTATAGATCTTCTGGTTGAATGGGCTTTTAGTTGTTCTCTCATACACACTGTCAGTCAAAAACAAAGTCAGCTAGGACTGAAAATGGTTCAAGCTACACATGTTATTCTGGCTTTTCATGAGGTTCTTCTGCACTTTTGAAAATTTCTTTACCACCTGTTTCACAAATTGCTTTTAATATACAGCACAATTTAATCAGGACTATAAATATCAAAGTTTGTGGAGGGTGTTTAGAATTTGGTGATAGCTTCCTTATTTCTTAGTGTTTCTATCACATATCACATAGTATCTTAAAGCAAAAAGCTAAAATGACAATTTCACACTTACTCTTTTATTTATATAAAATCTCTGAGATAGGTTTAGCTGTTGTATTCTGTTTATGGAATTATTTCATTAATCCTTAAAAACTGGTATTTAGAAGGTTGGTTTTTATTTTTTTTTTTAATTAAATTTTCCTGTAGGAGACATGAAACAAAATTTTGAAAGACAAAGACAGCATTGACCACTTAAAGATTCTAGCAAGTCTCAAAATGTAAGTAAAAAGAAAATGGATTCTTTAGAGGTCTGTCTTGTGGGGAAAAGAAAATTTATGCTTCCTCTTTGAATAAAAGGAGACATTGCATTTTTTTTAGCTAATAACACGACAAGGAAGTCATGGTATGGATTAATCTGTTAAAATACAACGTTGTTCCGACTTGGAGAACATTTTGATAAAATATTTATGAGGTCAGGTTGTTCTGGTAGAAAGATTTTTGATAGTAATGGGTAGAAGACAGAGAAAGTAAATCAGGCTTTCACTGATGGAGATAGAGCAAAGAAAAAGAAAGAAAACAAAAAAAGAAAGAAAGGAATAAAGGGAATCGTACCATATTCTGAAAAAAAAAAATAGAAATTTTGTGCAGAGACGTAAAGATGAGGGAATGAGTTATAAGAAGGGAGTAAAGGATAGGGAAAAACAGCAAGAGATAAGGATATGAAGTTCAATTAAGTTAGCATAGTACAGATTGAAGCAGCAAAACTGAAGGAGGTATGAGCAAATATATGTGGGATTTTCCTCAGTTTTCTCATCTTTGATGTGAAGGAGTCCTGTAAGTGTAAGAAAATGGGATACTGGAAATTGTAAGATTGTCAAAACAAGTTTCTAAAGGGAAAAAAAGGGATTAAAATTCAAGACATAAAACTCAGTGAATTATAAATAGAATCAACTACATCTATGAGGGAGTGAATTGAAAGAAAACCAAAAGGGCAATGAAGCTGTTGAAGAGTCTAGAGAGTAAGTTGTGTGGCTGAGTGAGTTGAGGTTGCTTAGCCTGGAGAAAAGGAGGCTCAGGGGTGACTTATTGATCTCTACAACAGTCTGAAAAGAGGTTGTAGCAAGATGAGGCTCGGCCTCATCTTCTAGGTAACTAGCAATAGGACAAGAGGATACGGCCTCAAGCTGTGCCAGGAGCGGTTGAGGTTGGACATCAGGAAGAATTTGTTCACTGAAAGGGTGGTTAAGTATTGGAATGGGCTTCCCAGGGAAGTGGTGGAGTCACCATCCCTGGAAATGTTCAAGAAATGACTGGATGTGGCACATAGTGCTATGGTTTAGTTGACATGGTGATGTTTGGTGCAAGGCTGGACTCCACAATCTTGAAGATCTTTTTCTACCTTAATGATTCCATGATTCCATGAAAAGAAGTCACCAGTAATGCTGTATCAAAAATCAAAAAACAGTGAGAAACCAAGTACAATGAAAGTCTCTGTAAAACCATCTCTTAAATGTGTAGGTGATTGGGTTTCAGAGTAATGTTTCCATTTTGAAAAGTGCCACATTGGCACTTGTACTAAAAGGACAAGCTACAAATTAAATTATATACTTTTTTAAGCTTGGATTGAAGTATTTTATGATAATATGGTTTTTATTTTCCTTAGCAAAAGGTTTTAAAAAATATCACTGGCAAAACAAACAAACAAGGATCCTAAAGATGACTCCGTTCTTAATGCAGAAAGAACTTGACTGATAGTCCAGAAGGACCAAGCAATGTTTCAGGAAGATGAGGTCACGTGTACACTCCTGTTGGAGTGTAGGAAATCTAAAGGAAGACAGAGCCAGGAAATACACAACTAACAACGGTACAATACAGAAAGTAAACCGATTGTATGCCAGGTTAAGTAAAGAATAAGAAAATGCATTAGAGAGTAGAGAGTCAAAGCAGAGAAGTGATTGAAGGAGAAAAAGGCCTAACACAGAGCAGTTTACAAGAGGAGAAGGCAGAGTGAGGAGGAAGAAAGTTAAATAAATTCAAGTAAATAGAAAAAGACAAAGGAACTTCACTAATTCTGAGCAATGAGAGTGAAAAACAAAGATCTTTGTAAAGAAGAGCAACTATTGCCATGTTTACATTAAGGCTTTCTTATAATTTTCTTGGATTTCAAGGGGAACTTGTCAAAAGGCTATAGCTTGGGTGATATTTCAAAAGCGTGCGACTTCAGTCAGATATCGGTCTGCTAAAAATTTCACCATTCACTCACATCCTGAGTAACTTTAGGCAAGTAATTTCACTGTAGAAGCTCCATGTGAGATACAATTACATTTTATGAAGTGTTGTAAGATTCTTAGATTGAAGATGAGAAAAGAGTGCAATATCATTTATCGTATTTTTCTGTTTCATGGAAACTATGAAGAAATGTTTAATAATATCATTTCTCACTTGTAGAAGACTTCATTCATAGGACTCATAATACATAAACCAAAGAAGCAGGTAGGAAAAATTGGCAGTAGATTAGCCACATGGAACAATTGTCACATTTAAAATTGTAAACATAAGATAATTAAAGTCAGCACGAATTTTACCAGACACTATAATTATTGGAAACCATCAACTGTATTCTTGCCCACAAAAGAAAAAAATGGGAAATCAACAATATGGTATTGTATTGCAAAGTAGATATTCCAAAGAACCGAGGACGACATTTTTCTCACATTTATATTAGAGTGATTAAAGTAATATTTAAGACAAAAATAAACCCTAGTTTTACCTTAGCCTTACTAAACCAGTATTTACTCTCCTGTTCATTCTTTCCTCTTCTCACAGCCACAAGGAACTCAGGAATTTTGAGAACTGTCAACTAACTCTCTTTAAATTTTTGAAGATACCTATGCTATGAAAAGATTTAGTATCTAATCCCATAAGAACTGACTACTGAAGTAAGTCAGTGCAAATTTGACTGCATTTTCAATGTATTTAACCCACCATTTTTAAATCTGTAGTTATTAATATGAAGTAAAAAAATTCTTTTTAAAATGCATATCAACTTTGCACTCAGGAAGCAATAATATATTGTACATGTGTGACTGCTGCATTATTTTGTGCCCTTTTGTCCTATCACTGACCTTATAAATATGTATTCACATCTCTTCAGCACTAAGCACTTGTGATTGGAATTAGTGCATATTTAGAATTGATTAAACAAGTGAAAAAATTAGAGATGTTTGTTATAAAGACAATAACTTGAAAGTGACTTCAGTTGTAAGGCAGAATTATTCAGGGCCTTGGGATGAAAACGTGCACCTTGTAGGTATTTTTAGAATTATGTTGATTTGACACCTAGCCATTTTTTCCTGCATCTATAGTTTAATAATGTTTTAAATATAACAAGTAAACATCCTGATTAGAAATATATAATGATCTATACCTCTTCACAGTTTCAGAATTTAATTCTTCCCTGTATATATTAAATACTGTGTGATCTTGAAAGACTGCTAGAAGGACATGGGCCTAGCCAAGTAAATGCAGTCAGGTTAACACCAAACTTGTAGAAGACACAGCTAAAATTTAAACAATCACTTTCATTCAAATTTCTTCAAATATATTCAAGTTATAAAATAAGTGGATATGTATTTTTGTGCTAATTTAACTAACATGAGGTAAAATCCTATTTTTGCCCATGATATGTAGTTATTAGAAAAGGCAGAAAATCAAAATATATCTTGTTTTCACCTTACAGACTTTAGCTGTTGGGACACATAGTGACTAATATCATTACAAGGTTTTTACCTTAGATTATTAATTTAGTTAGTTAAAATAAAAGAAAATCTCATTATTCAATATAGGCAGTCTTGCTTCTCTGTTGGCTTCTGCTAGTTATGCAGCAAAGGAAAACGTAGGAGGCATACCCTGTACAAAGAAGCAAAAATCCTGTTGCAGACTTTTACCTACTAGTCTCATGGTTGACTACAAAATAAAGCAACTAATTCTTCTGACTTTTTGCAAATCAATCCCAATTCATTAGAGCCTTTTTCCTAACTTTAAATAAATGCTATCCCTTTTGATGAGTCAACTATGCCTTGTAGGCTGTTTGCAATTACTTTTTTTGGTGAACTATTACTCATGCTGTGTTTACTTACTGAAATGTACACTTCTGTTGCTGTATCTGGATCATTCAGGCTGTTCAGACTGGGAAGTAGAAGTAAGAAACAATTTGTGAAATTTTGGCAGTCAGTGTTAAAATTTCACCTAACTTTTGATGCAAAATCATTTTTAAAAATACCTCCTTAATCATCTTAATATAGAAGCATATCAAGTATTGGAGCTCCCTAAATATAAAACATATATTAGTCTTATAAATATCAATATCAATCCCTTATCAATAATACAACTATACACCTGCTACATAATATAGCAAAGCTATATAGTTACTATGTGATTCTGTGTAGGGCATTCTTCATTAGCTGTTTGCAGCTAATGGGCTGTAGCATCTTCTTTAACAAAGTGTTTGGAACTAACCCTCCTACCAAGTAATTTTCTCTCCCACTCTAATATTAAATAGTGCATGGCAGCTTAGTTGTGAGTGTTAGCTGAGTGATATACATCTTGGAAGTCTTCTTC